TAAAGAATGGTTTTTATATTACAGTGGTTACTTGTAAAATTAACTTTTTAAATAACTATATAATATAGTACCATTATAGGAGTATTTGTAATGTTAAAACAGAAATTGGTTATCACTTCAGTGAGACACCTGGTATAATCACAATGATACAACAACTATTTGATTATTGATACCACTTTAATAAATATTTCTTTCCTTTCAGAAAGAATAATATTCACATTGTGAAGTAGTAAATATTTGTCATTACAAAAAACTGAAGTACAGGTGAAAGTTAAATGTTATGAAAATTTGTTTTTATATTGGCCCAAGAATACATTTTTTACGTAGAAAGAGCGTTCAAAATAATGACAATACTATATTTTTGTTTCAATAGCGCAATGTTTAAAAAGATGAATATAAACAAAATCTTTTACATAATCTCTTTTCTAAATAATAAATATATATATATATATATTTTTTTTACTTTTTTTATGGAACTATTGGTAATAATATTTTTGTTTTCTTTCTTATTTTTAATATATCATAGTATTGCCGCTATAATGAATATAAAATTTATGGTATCATCAATTCGAATAGTTATTAAATATAACTTTGAATGCACTTAAACAAAATAATATAATTTATGGAAAAAATAATTTTATTTGATATTTTTTTGACATTGTCATGCAAATTAATTAAGTTCGTCTTTAAAAGAAGACAGTATAATTGGTATGAGAAAAAGAATAGTCATGCAATTAGTTGCGAGATTTGTAGAAATTTTATTCAACATTGCTCCAATATTGCTAAGACAGTAATGAATGCAGTTAAAAAAATCAATTTCAAAATGCTAAAAAGGAAATGTAAAAGTTATTTATTAGTATCAAGAACGTATTCGATATGGAATTTTTTAACACAATTAAATAATACTGTAATTTGATATTGAAGCAATATAAAGTTCCTATCATAAAAAAAATTCACGTTTGTAATATCTAGTTAAATTACGTAAATATCTTAAATGTATTTTTTTAAATTATCTCAAACATTCATATCCATAACACTGAGAAACTGGGTAGAAAACAATTTGACTCCCTAAAAATTTATAATCATATCATTATTTTGTATACAAAATTACTTTTTATACAAAATAATATTAAAAAATAAACTAGGAAAAATGAATTAATAACTTTTTTTTTAATGGTGAGGGGTGCAATTTTCTTTCTTTACTTTTTTTTAATGTTCAACTAATTGTACTTTCTTTGAAATTGCTTGAAACATTGCTTTCCCAATTTCTCTAATACATTCAAATAATTTTATTTACAACAGCTTAAAAACATAATATTAAGGAAACTTAATGAAATAACTTCAATATCTCTTTATATTTCATTCTTTTTGGAACTTTCAAAAATCAATCACCATATGAACTAAAAAAGTACGTAACACGTTATGGTCGTGTATCACTAAGCCTTCAATATTCTTATATAAATAGGGTACTCGCAATCTGCTAATACATTAATGCATTATGTATTATGTATTACGAATGGAGGATTCTCCTATAATATAAGATAGTATACGGCAATAATAAAATGAAATTAGGAATAATTCGATTTTCAACGGAATCGTAACTTCTTTTTCTTTTGTTCGATATAGGTCTTGTTGTTAACAGTAATACAGCCGTATTCGCGATTTTCTATGAACACGTTATATTAACACAGTAAAATATATGTGCATGTAACTACTTAAGAATTAGTACAGAGCCGCTATTCTTTACATATATGTATATATGTAATATGTACACATATATAGTGTACAGACAAACGATGTTCGGAAAATAACAATACAAATGAAAAATATAAAATTCCCCGCCTTTAAATCGAAAAGAAATGTAATAAAAAGAGTAACTCTTCTTTTCCTATTCTTTCCCTTTTATTATACTGCCCTTAAGTATCTCATTACTATTAAATGAAAATACAATAATATATTCATAAAACATTGAATAATTAACGCCCAATGGCACATTCTGAGTTTGAAATATGTCTGAGCTGCATGCACCTCTCACGATTTTAATTATAACTTATTTAAAGAAAATTAGAACTTATTTCATAGAAAAAGTTACTCTTCTGCTATATTTGTTTCGTGTTTACAGCGGCGAATAATCTTACATTTCTCGCTTGTACCGTCCTATTTTCGGTACACCTTAATATATATATGTATAATATATATATAATATATATACATACATACATACACACACACATATATATATGCATTTATATTTATATATAATTCTATGGATGGCGAGTGTCCATCTCTTTTTCCTCCCCCTCCCTCTCTCTATATCTTTCTTTCTTCCTTGCCTCCTCTCCTTTCTTCTTTTGTTCTTTTACATCCTTTATTATTTTTCGATCTCAAATATGTAATCCGGGGATAGTAACCCGTTTTTTACTTTTTTTTATTTTTTTCTTTGTCACTTACGCCACTGATTTTTAGGTGTAAGACTTATAAGTGGTCAACAATAAGAAGCACAGTTTTAACAAGTAACGTTTTGTTGTCTTGCGCGTACATATTCACGCATTCTTTCTGTCACATTCATAAACGTATACACATACACATACGGACGCGCGCACATGCTCTTTCTTATTCTCCATTTTTCTCTGCCTATTCTTCAGATTTCCTACTTCCTTATTTCTCATTTATTCATCATCCCTTTCTCTCTTTCATTCACTAGTTATGTTACTATGAAAACTTACTCTATCGACATTGCTCAATTATCGGAGATTTCCTCATAGAGCTTCTGTCTTCTTTTCCCTATTGTTTTTTTTTTTGCGTTGTATCTATGAAAATAACATAAAGAAAGATTATTTTTCGTTACATTAGCAACAAAGGAAATTGATGCTACTTTAGAAGTTATTACTCAACATAAAAATTATTTATTTTCTTATAAACTTCAATAATTAATATTTCAAATATTAATTTTACAGTACTTACGAAATCAAATGTATAATTGTTTTATATATAAAAATTAATATAGATTGTATTTTACCAATAGTGGTAGATTATGATGTTTGAGGGCGTTAGTATGCCGGAGCTCGAAAATCAGGCATCCGTTGTTGTTGCTGTTGTTGTTGTTGTTGTTGTTGTTGACCAAAAGGTGGTTCTTGATAACCAGTATCGGCTGCATCAGGATAACTTGTATATCCTGTTCCGCCAACAGGATCTGCTTCGTAACTGGGTGCAAATGCTGCATCGGTTCCTTGCTTGAATCTTTGGAAGGCAAACCAGGCGCAAGCAGCCTATTAAAAATTAAATAGGTATATATTCAATTAAAAATAAACAATAAGCATTAAAAAAAAGTAACATACTTCGAATTTTGGAATTCTATTACAATTTTTTATAGTTTACATAATTCAATTTTTATTAGTATATTACTTGAAATAAAGTAAGTGGTTAATCCAATAAATGTTCGAGTTAAATAATTAATATTATGAAATTTATAATATAAATTTATTGAATAAATTTGGAATAAAAATATTTTATTAATGTACCCAGGTAAAAATAGAGAAAAAGGAGAAAGCGATAGCGCTTTGAACGTTGTTCACTCCATAATTATATAGTGGCGTTGTCGAATTATTCCAAGCATTGGTTAAGTAACAGAATCCGACGAAATACAGGAA